TGCACAGAGCAGGGCCGATCATGGGGTTGGGGCGCTGCCCCCTGTCATGCACAGAGCAGGGCCCATCAGGGGGGTTGGGGCTTCTTTCCCCTGTCACACACAGAGTAGGGCAGATAGGGGAGTTGGGGCACCGCCCCTGTCACACACAGAGCAAGGGCGGATCAGGGGGTTGGGGCACCCCCCACTGTCACACTCAGGGCAGGGCCGATGGTGAGGTTATGGCTCTACCCTGTCACACACAGAGAAGGGCCCGTGGGGGGGGGGTTGGGGTGCCGCCCTCTATCACCCACAGAGCAGCGCCGATCAGGGGGTTGGGGCACTGCACCCTGTCACACACAGAGCAGGGCCAATCAGGGGGTTGGGGCCCCACCCCCTGTCACACACAGAGCTGCAGGGCTGATCAGGGGTTTGGGGTGCTGCACCCTATCAGGCACAGAGCAGGGCTGATCAGGGAGTTGAGGAGCTCCCCCCTGTCACGAATAGAGCAGGGCAGATCCAGGGAGGTTGTGGCCCCGCCCCCTGTCACACACAGAGCTGCAGTGCCGATCAGGGGGTTGGGGCGCCTTCCCCTGTCACGCTGATCCCGGTGCCGGGAGCCTCGCTGCTCCGCTGATCCCGGTGCCGGGAGGCATATTACCCTTTTACTATATAGAATAGAGGCCTGGTGCATGGGTGGGGGCCGGCTGGTTTGCCCTGAAGGGTGTCCTGGATCAGGGTAGGGGTCCCCACTGGGGTGCCTGGCCAGTCTGGGTGAGGGGCTGAGGGCCGTTTTCCGGCTGGCGGGTGACTGAAGCTCCCAACCGCTCCTTTTTTTCTTTTTCTTTTTTTCTATTCTGGGCCAGCTTTAGCTCTGAGGCCTCGCTGCTGAAAGCAGGTTTCTGGCCTTTACCTTCTGTATTTGATACAATGTTGTGGTCCGGCTGGCTGAAGCCCGGCTGACTTAAAGCCGGTTTCTGGGGTTTTGTTTAGCTTCTATATTTGCAACATAGTTGCTTAGAGTTGCAGCTGAGAGGCCGGCAATTCAGGCGGGGAACGTTGGAGTTCGCCATCACTGGAGCAAGCAAGCCTCCCTGTTCCCTTCAGTGCATGGCTGCCGGCCGCCATCTTGGCTGACAGTTAATTTGCATAAGGATATGCTGATTAGCCAATGGGAACGGTAGCGGTCGTATGCTAATTACCATGTTTCTCTTTTATTAGTGTAGATTTCATCAGTTCTAAGATACATTCATTTTCCCACTACATTTTAACATCTTTAAAATCAACATAGGTCTTGCATATTGATAAATTAGTAAGTGGTTAAGGTCTTGTGTTTATTTATTCAACAGGTATATACTTGACATCTGGTGAGTTAATTTTTGAGGTCAAATCTGTTTATAGGTGATAAGGATACTTGAGATTTTAATTTAAATTTTATTTCCTCAGCCCATATAAACAATAATGGATGTAAAAATGAAATTAAATGTTCCTTCCTTTGACATTTTTCAAATATCTGAATATTCTGAGAAAATAAAAATATACATAGACAGTCACATGTCCAGTAGAACATAGAATTTCCAAGTTCTATTTTTACAGGAGGTGGTAGATAACTATGTTTTTAGATGAGTTTCCTTTGATGGAATGGGGTCTGCTCAGCCATATAGCTGAACTTTTTTTTTTAATTTTTTTTTGAAATATATTTTATTGATTTTTTACAGAGAGGAAGGGAGAGAGATAGAGAGTTAGAAACATCGATGAGAGAGAAACATCGATCAGCCGCTTCCTGCACATCTACTGGGGATGTGCCCGCAACCCAGGTACATGCCCTTGACTGGAATCGAACCCGGGACCTTTCAGTCCGCAGGCCGACGCTCTATCCACTGAGCCAAACCGGTTTCGGCCATATAGCTGAACTTTTACAAAGACTCAGGTATTATTTCTCTGACTAAGGGCACATCTGTGAAGGAATTTCTCAACAGCACTCACAATCACTCAACTGTTTATCAGAAAGAAATATCACCTAGTCTGTGGAAATGCCAGAATCAAGCCAATTTTCTAAAGTGATCCATATTAATAGATAAGAGAGAAGAGTATGCAATTCAAAGGTGAAAGTAAGAAAGTCAGAGAAAACACCCTTTACTGGAAAGCCTAGAGCTGAACCCTGGCCCTGGGAGGTGGTGAGTGTCATGATCAATGTGGCCAGGTTCTGCCTTTATCTTTTCAGAAACCAACCCCGGCCAGTTCTTTGGAAAGCATTTTGAAATTTCCACATTTTGCCAAAGTATCTGGAAGAGGAGTATCCAGTCTTAAAGACTCTAATTTTATCAAAATCTCCAAGTTTTCAATACTTCTAACTATAGAATTAATTCCAGCTGTTGCCAAAAGCCTTAGAAACAATCAGTTAAGCAAAATTACACAGAAAACTAGAAAATATTACAAAATGAATGCACATTGTCCCATGAGAAACATGTGTCATTACTTCAGGGAGTGCTGGATATACTGAGGGCCTTCACAAGCATGAAGACCCTAAAATTAAAAGAGGGAAGATACTCCAGGACACGAGAGCGGGGGAATTCCTGATTTGTTGTTCCACTTATTTGTCCATTCATTGATTAATTCTTGTATCTGCTCTGACAGGGAATCAAACCTGCAAACTTGGTGTATCAGCACGATGCTCTAATGAGTTGAGCTACCAGCTAGGGCCCTGGTAATGGTTCTTGAATGACAGAAGAGGTGGGGAGCTTTTCAGTTGCCATTAGAGCCACTAGCTTGCTATCCAACTGTACAGAGGGAATCACATTTTTTCTTAGGATGCATTAATGTCAGAATTTAAGTATAATTTTAATATTTTATTCTTAGCTTAAAATGGGAAGAATTAACATGTCAAGTACATAGTATTAACTTTTCACACCATGATATTTTTGTGAATCTTTCAGTTTTTCTTAATTTCTTTATTAAGAATATGAGTTCATTATTATTTTTCTTCATCCATTCATTAGATTCTTATTTTATGCAAGTTCTCATTTGTGTACCATTTTTATATTTAAATATAGTACTGTCTGAATTATTTTCTTAATCATGAAAACTGAGAATGCACAAAGCTGAAATACATTGGCTCAAGTGGAAATTTGTCTGTTTCTAAAATATCAGACAGTATTTACTATTTTGTTTCTAAATTTGCAAATATGTACTTGCCACTCTTTGTCAGATAGTCCATACTGGCTCTAGCTAAAAATGTCTTCTAGTGAATCAACTTCAACAATCTAAACATGTACTTAAAATTCTTATAGTATTAACATAAAAAGCCATCCACTGTCTTGTGAGATTCTTTTGAAATGTTGTTTCTTGTCACTTACACTGCAATTTTAATAAGATTCTTATAATTTCTTTATGAGTTTCAGTGTACAACTTTATAGCCATTTTCTTTCCACTGAATGTTTTGAACAAGACCATTTGATAAAAAAAACTCATTCTATATTACTATACTTTTCATGTAAGCTTCTATTTCTCATCACGAACATGATATATATAGTGACTTTCATAACAAAATTATGCCAAAAAACACACCCTTAAATTAGATGAAAAGCAGAAACCAATTCACTAAAGGATTTCCTCAAAGCTACATGCTAATGCATATGAACCAGAGAAAGTAGTTGAGGCTTTCAAGTGATACTCAGGACCAGTGTTCTCTCCCCTGCTTCTGGGAATATTACTGCTACTCCCAGGCAGATGCCTTGGGTGACTCATTAGGACATGATGAGGACCAGTGTAGTACATGTCACAGCTTGACCGTGCTCCAGGCACCTCTGTGCCCACCAGCAGGAGAGACAGAGAAGTGACCTACCCCCACCACAGGAAACAGAGCACTCGGAGCGGACGATGACCCACGTGTAGCTGGGCTGGGCACTGGGCTTCTGCTCACCGGCCCGCCGAGGCACCGAGTATTCCCAGGCAATGCCCGGGTTCCTTCCCTGAAGCAGAAGCTACAACATAAGATGGGGGGAAATATAACTAGTTAAAATGGAACCAATAACTACACGATTTGTTTTAAAAACTTGAAACAATAGCAATGTCAACAAAATGTTGTTAAAGTGATAAAATAAACAGTGTTCAGTCTCCAAAATTTGCATTAACTTTCTGAACAGGAATAAACTCCCAACTGGACTCAAGTATATCTAGTAACTATATAGACATCTGACTTGCCATATACTTAGTGTTTCCTCCACACAAGACGTCAGATGTCTTTGCCACACAATAAACATATTTGGTTATCTCTTGCTTTCTCTCCATGTTCCTTCTGACTTCCCTGCAAATCCTCCCCATGAGAGCGAATCAGAAAGTGATACTTAAAAAGCACCATCAAACTTCCTAGTAACAACCCAGGATGCTGAAGTGATGTCATCCATGCCACTGCCAAAGCTGAGTCAGAGGACTTCCCACGTGACTGGTTGCCTGTTGGCGTGTACCCAGGAGTTCCAGGAGAAACATATCTTACTAGTCAAGCTGATCTCTCAGGCTCAGCATAACTGTGAGCCATGGTTTAGGGTATAACATTGCATTTGGACTCTTCACCTTCCCGTGTAAAACCTGAACACATGGATCAGTAACCACCTTTTCTCTTATAAGTGTATCAGATCCCTGATCTCAGTGAGTAGGTTATCTATCTATCTATTTATTTATTTTTAAAGCAACATCACCATTATCCTGTTGATAGACATCTGCATTTCTGAGCCTTGGAGCCATTATGCATCCTTGATGTGATGTTCCAGTGGATAATGACACTGGCCCTTCCCTGACACCCTGGCACCACAGTCCCCTCCCTGACAACTCAGCTCAAGTCTCCATTGGTGTAGGGCAGGTTGGCACCCTGGAGAGTGGGCTGCACTGCAAGGCCATTGAGATGCTCCCCTTCTGACACCCTGAGGCTCTGTGACTCTTCTTCCACAAAAACAGTTCCTAATAAGCTGAACTCATTTTCAACCCTGACCCATTTCTCTTTCTCTATGATTATTATAGCTAACAGCCTGAGATGGTGAGAGAGAAATAATCAAGGCAAGAATGTAGGGTGAATAGTTTACCACAGGGTGAAGGAAGCAGTTCAGAGTCAGGAGGCACACACAGAGCCTCTCCCAGCCATAGAGCTTACAAAAGAGAAGCAGACATTTGTAAAGACTGACAGATAAAGACCCCAACATGGGACCTGCAGGACGTGCATAAATATACATTTAATCATGCACCAAGAAATGAAGATGATTAAAAAAGTCCACTGACCCATTCAGCCTATGCATTGATTAGTCTTGTTTCTGATGCATTACCTAATTGTAAGCATGCTTCTGTGCACTTAAAATTACACCAATAGCCTTGGACCTACAGAAATGCTAGAAGACCCCAAAATCCAAGCCCCCAAACCATGAGGCTGGAATCTACCTCCACGATCAGTGTTTCATTGGTTGGCCCCGCAGAGGTCAAGCTCTCCGGCTCCCTGTGGGACCGTCGGTAGTTGAAGGCAGTGCCTGAAAACTTGTAGCGTCCGGGCCAGTCCACGGTCCAGTGTCCATTCAGGTAGTATGTTTTGAGGGCATTGCGCACAGCAATGTAGGAGGTAGATACATTCATTTCATAGATGCGAATACTCCGGGCTCCCGAAGGAATGGTAACCATCTGATAATACTCTAGATTAAAGCAGACAGGAGCAGGGAGGATGGGGTATTTCATTCATTTATGCCAAGGCCAAATCTCTCAGCACCTTCAGTACTCCATAACTACAACGTGAGAATCCTATAAGTGACTTACTTGTAATTGAAGCAGAGTTATTGTAATTTTCACTATTCCTAAGGATGATTCTAATTCAAATAACCTAGCAACCACTTTCTATCAAAACCAAGGATTGAGAGTAGGCAGAAAAGGAGGCAGTTGTGGGACCTGTTAATTTTTATTGTTGACACTATTGCTCACCTCCACCTCCTGTCAAGAGTCTCAACACCTGCTGCATTCACTACACCTCAAATTCTTCCCACCAAAAAGTTCCCGTTTCGATCTTGTCTCTCAACCTCCGCAGGCAGCTGTGGCATACTCACGGTTGGTGCGGTGGTGCTTGGCATAGAGGCCCTTGTGCACCGTGCAGTCTGAGTTATTCCCCTTGCACACACCGCAAGAGTCTTCCACGGCACTGGATCCAAGGATGTTGTCACATCCAACTCTCTGGGATATTCATGAGGTCACACGTCATTCATGAAAGAAAAGATAACAGGAGCAACATCACAAACCTAAAGCAGGAAACCTCCTCCCCGCTATAGTTGAAAATTCCACCAACACAGGGAAATTAACAAATATTTATTGGATACCCAATATGTGCACAGAAAGCCTGCAAATCTACTCTTCAGGCCCAAAGTTGGAAAACTTTAAATGTCAAACATAACCTGAACTCTTCAGGATTGCTCACAGCTATTGTATCCTGAGCCCTGAATTGCATCTATCCAGTTGTTATGTTGGAAACATGGGTCAAGTGCAGACTGACATAAAGCACTTACTACAAACGACAAGCAATATGTTCTCACAAGGGTCCACTGGAATGTGCCCTGGTGCTTTTGAGTCTCCTTGTTCAATAGCAGAGAAGTAGCACATGCCATGTGGAAGTAATTCCCAGCAGTAAATAATATAAAGGGCATATTTGTTCACCCTCTTACAATCTTAGGAACTCATTATTTGTACAATTCTTGTTAGTTTTATATTTCCTAACAACGTCTATAGATCTACTCAGAAATGAAATAACTAGTCCACAATCCCTTGCTTGTAATCCATAGGGATGGATGCATTTCAGAGATTTTAGGATGGAAATTGACATATTGTGTATATAATGTGAAAGTCCCAGATGGGCCTAGGATAGCAGTGATATTTCTATAACAAAATGCAGACATCTTCATACTATGCGGTTAAAAGAAAACTATCAAATAGTCTTACATCTGTTCAGGGAAGATTTTTACCACCAAACAAATTCAGGTCAGCTTATATTTTCCATCCAAACAAAATTTCTATTTCATAGATTTTTAGATTTCAAAATTACAAATGAGGGATTGCAATATTATCATTAAGAATACCTGAAAATACTGAAATATTTAACAAATCAACTACTAATTAGACAAAACAGGTAGAGACTTGAGCATTTTAAAGCTGAAAAAGATTTTAATAGAATCATCTAGCCTAATCTTCATGCATTAAAAAGAATTACACCAAGGTCTTAGTGGGTGGTTCTACTTTACTATGGTCCTATAACTTAGAGAAACTAGAAATTGGACTGAGGTTGTTGGACTCCAGTGAATAAGAATATTGAGTAACTTCTGTGTGTGATCTGGTCACACCATCACTTTGTTTATAATGAAATTCTTTCCATAACTTACTTCTGCACATGGTAACAAGCTATAAGGGTGATGTCCACTTAGTCACTGAGTCTTTCCCAGCCTGTCACCTAAGTCCCTCTCTAATAGATGTTGAGGCTACTGGGTCTTCTGGAGACCCCTGGAATAGCTGCAGAGTGGCTCTCGGCTCTGAGCTGCCCGACCCCCTTCATTACTCTCCACGCTACCGTTCAGCCACTGCATCTGATCCCACAACTCCACTAGTTCCCAATCTCAGTGCCTGATCTACACAGACACAATGATCAAAACCGGACTCCTCGTTCTGGCAGCGATTGTTCTTGTGAGAGCCCATTCCCCATCCCTCACCTCCCCCGTACCCCAACCCTTGCCTGCCTTCTGGATACTCTGATGACTGAGTTGGGTCTTACCAACCTATGCTCCTCTGCCTGCCTCCCTAACATTCCCCTTCCAACTCACCCTTTCAGATTTAGCTTGGAAGCTCTCTTCTCCAAGGAGCCCTGCAAATCTCCCAGATCCACATCTAAGAGAGAATCAGCTCTCTCCTCTCTGCGCTCTGCACCTTCAGTGCCACAAACCACTGTGTCTCAGCATGTGTACATCTGGCTTCTCCCCCACTGGGCTGTGACTTGAAAGGGCTTGTTTTTTTGTCTGTTCTCTCTAGCTTCTTATAGGATGCCTGGCACAAAACAGACTGACTGGAGATGTTTGTTGAATGAATGAACGATCATTATTACCTCACATATCCCATCTATACAAACATTACGGCTATCCTCCGAGCATGGAGTCCCATCTTTGACTTTATTTGACAAAGAAAAGAAGAAATCAAATCCTTCTGCGATACAGTAGAGTTTGCATAAGTCCTGATCTTAAAAAGAAATACACACACAAACACAAATAAGAAAGATACTTAAGCTCTGATCATTTTTGCTCTAAATTTTAGATAGACTTTTTTTTTCTTTTTTGCCCATAAAATAAACTCCCACACAATAATACATTGCAAAGACATTTTTGTATGGTTGTTTCTTTAGGCTTGTTTTTTCCCCTTTAATTTATTATCTAAATGTTCACTGTTACTTTTTACTCAACTCTCTACTAGTCTTTGTTCTTTACACAGTGGTTGGCACATAGTAGGCATTCAATAAACATTTGTTGATTTGAACTAGAACATTACTATTAACTATTCCACTCGCATAATTAACTACTCTCTTGTAGAAATGCAAAAAAGTCACTACAATTTTATAACACTATGTCAAATTCTCACAAATAAAATGTAACAAGATATAAAAGTATTGAATTTCTTAATCGCTAATACAGTTGAAAAATACATAATATATTAAATTGATAGAGGGAATCACTTTTAGATGAAATCTCCAGAAAATTATGTTTTCTAAAATTTATTATAAAAAATATTGATACATAAAGAACATGGGTATCATCATATCCTTAAGACTGGTAAAGTTCACTTCCTCTCTCATTTCAAGGGTTTATGATTTATATGATTAAATATAAACTTTTGTAAAAACCATATCCCTTTGTTTTCTCCTTGGTAAGAAGGGAACAGTTTATGATGAACGTTTTTGTCTGCCTTAGGAGTTTTCATAGGCTCAAACTCATCTACAGATATTTTCTTTATTTTATAAGAGACCCACCTGAACAATTTTAAGATCAAATTTAGTGCTTCCATTATTAATACGTTTATTTACTGAAGACTAGCAAGGTCAGGAATAACATGCACATTTTTTGACCCCAATTTCAAAGTTCTTTCTACTTTTTTCACTGGCTTAATTTTCTCTGAGTTAAAGAGTAAAAATACCACCAAGATTGCTTTGTATGAAATTGCTGACAATTTTCTTTCCATAATCTACTAATTTCATAAACCTCTCAGCATGAAAATATTATATATTATGATGAAGAAAGTAAATGTCACATGAGAAGTTCCAAGTTATGTATTTCTTGAGTGTTGCTTGGACAATATTCCAAATTTCAAAGAATAAGATGATTAGATGTTATTTGGACTTATTTTTAAATTATACCACTTAAGCTACCAAGTTCAAGTTATAATAATCATAAGACTAATGCATATTTTTCTCTAACTAGAGAGTAAAATCTTACATATGTCACAAATAAACATCTCGGTTTTTAGTTATATTATAGATCAAGACTTTCTGAATATAGTATACTTTAAAATTATCTGATTTTCCAAAAGATACTAAAGTTGTTCTTTCATTATTTGGCAATTATGCATTCATTGGGTGACATGCTTATAGAAATATCACCATCAACTATAGGGATTTGTAATTAAAGTAAGCATTGATTCATTGACAATAAAACATCTACTTTCCATTTTTTACCACTTCTAAATTTAATGGTATTATAAACTTGTTCTCTGTTTGGCTTGTTAATTTCTGACCACACAGCTGGTCAAGTTTAGATTAAGATGCCAGTGGCCATGTGTCAAAATACCCCAGAAACGGATCTGTGACACTGATCTCATATAGGGGTATCTGATCTACCTGAACACCACACCATCTATCATGTAGTTCTTTCAGGAGGAAAGATAATAAAGTAGGAGGCTATCGCTACTGAGTAGGGTTTGGGATTTACCTTCTACTTGCGTGTAAGGCTTCCACTTGTAGTGCCACCCTCGAAACCGTTTGCTGTTGTATTCCGCACACTGCATGGCACGGAAGTCAACACTATCGTGGGGACATTTCTGACTGTTGCAAAGCTTCAGAGTGCGAGTGGAGCCCTCACAAAACTTCCCGCCATGGGATGGTCTGGAACACATATTTTGCTGTTAGAAACCTTACAGTTTAATAGGGACTTGCCCCTTCCTTCAAATTGGGCTTATTGGAGAGATGTAGCAGATAATGTTAAATTATTTACAGGGGCTACTAAGTAGTCACTGATTATATATTAACGACATGGGCAGTGTTTCCTTTTCTATTGAGTGTATAGTTTACAATGTTGGCAGAAGAGGTTAGGATGTGGTGAGCAGGTTTGTGTGTATTTATTAATGCCGCCTCCCAGCCTCCTTCTGTGGGAATAGGGTCAGCATTGCTCCGAATTCCATAAAGGAGGGGACAACAAGGGAGGACAGTGGCTCTCCCAGAATTACGCAGTTGATAGAAAGCAGAACTGAGAATGAAATTGAACTATACCACTTCTCTCCACTACTAGCTTCCTGCGACAAGGCCAGGGCACCCAATTGGGTCAGAAGTAACAGTCACCTTCCACTTGTTGGCACTGACAGCAAATGCACCAGGTTCTCTGCTACCCGCTCAGAATTCATGTGGACCACCAGGATGAGAGCATCCTGTCCATGCAGGAACCTATTGGGTCTCACATGTTAAAGCCAGGACTGAGATAATGGCAATATGACATATCTTAAACAAACCAAGGCGCATAAAGAGGATTTAGAAATCTATTCACTCCACTGTACTGGTGACTGCATTTAACATTCTTGTCATATAACGGGAGGCCACCACAATTAAAGCACATATTGGAAAGGTAAATATTTTTGATAAAAAACAAAAATTATGTTTTTTCACATAAAATAATTGTTCTTGTTCATTTTTATCCTCTATGCTTTTCTTATGATGTTTTCTTTGTTTTAGGCACACCCTTGGCATTTCAAATATACATGGTTACAATTCAATTTTGGAATATCACTGTTGGATCTATTACTTTTTGCTATGGTTAGATAGTTACAAGCATCTCATATAAAAAAATATCATTGTTTTAGAAATGTTTGAGGGAAAAGGCTTTCCTATGTAATGTTTCTTACAATAATACTTGAAGTACAGAATGAGTATGACTGAGCTCAGGTACAGGCACTGTTTGAAAGGCTGTGGCAGAGAGATGCTCACTTGTGAGTTGGGAAATTCAGACGTGCTTACTTGGGATTAGTGCAGAGGCGGTCTCTGTGGGACACCCCTCCTCCGCAGGTCCTGGAGCATGGTGACCAGGGAGACCAGTCTGACCAATGGCCATGGGTAGGCTTAGGGCCTTCATCACCATATTTCACACACTGCCCTCCACGGCACCACTAAAAGTTAAAAAAAAATAGTAGATATGACCTCATGGATAGATAGGTGGATCAGCACTCTTGTAATGCTTAATGCTCAGTCACGGGGAGTCTGGTACCACAAGCAGACATTCTTGTCCCTAACCATTAGTAGCACATCATACAAACACACTTAAGTATGCTTCTTTTGTCTTTCCACACCTATCATTGCTCTATAAATCCATGTAAACGGAACATAAATAGAAAAAAACCCCCAGCTGAGCTGCTGGAACTTGACACATTTAATTAAGTAGTATTGCATAGATAGTCAGCTCTCAAGTGAATGGACGCCGACCACTCCTGAAAACAATGTGCTTTTCACATCTCATTTTCAGCTGAGACCGAGTTTCAGGTAGAGAAATCCAGCTGGAGGTTCCACATGATTCAACACCTTGTCATTTCTGGCAGGTGGGCTGTGACTTTTCTCTAAGGCACCTGGACTCAGAGCCTGGAGGTCATAACTGATGCACGTCAGAGGTCACAGGGCTTTCTAAGATGAAATAATCTGCCCAGAACTTGTCTGTCCCTGGAGATGCTATCAGCTTCCCTTTCTCAAGAGAAGGCCCATCAATGTGGATTCATGCTAACATCTACATGGTTCCTTCACTCCCACCCCACATAAAGGCTACACAAGATCTCACATTGTGTTCAGTGGTGTTGGATTTTCTACCTATGGCTTGGTGTAGACCTAGGCCATCTGTTGAGAGGAGGTAAGTAACTCCCTTGTTCCTTGTGGCTGGCAGAGCCTGTCCTGGGGTAAGGGGTAGGGCAATTTAGAGCCACCTGATTTGTTCTGAGAGGAAAAAAATGCTGTTTTTATAAGAGGCCGGTAAAAATATTTCAATTATTAATGAATGTATTGTTGTTATTTGATCATTGTTGGCACATGGGAGTGACAATTTCAAATAGTTCAATTTAATATTATTTAAGAAAGAAAAATTAAAATTTTAAAATATAAGTAAGTCTGAGGACTAAAGCCTCATCTATTGAATTCTTTGGTTCTTTGCTACAAGCAAAAAAAGAGTCTCTCTTTCACTACTGCCTTCCCTCACCCCAGCTGAAAAACTGAAGTCTCACAGTCCTGACCCCTCTCAGCTCCGTGAGGGGCATTTGGAGACCCCTCTCTCCAAATCTATGCTCTGTGGCTTTAACATTACTACTTAGTGCTGGATCTCTAGGTGGTTAAATGGTCGTTAAGGGTTTAATGTTTTCCCTTACTAAATAGGTTCAGCTGTCACCTTTGCCTGACCATCCACATCTCTTAATTCCAGCCAACTCATCAATTATATCATTGAACAAAGTGAAAAAAAAGAGTCTTCTTCATGATATCAATATAAACACAATCTTTTCACATGTGTAGGTCTGCACATATATATATGAGAAAGAAGGGCTTAAAAATACCAAGATGAGGAGAGATGAATAGGCTGAAAGACTGACATCTAAATATGACATTGTATGTGCCTAAGATCAGCATCTTACCATGTCATGCCCACAAATGGTGCCTTCTGCTGCTGGCATAAATTTAGTCTCACACTTCCTTCCAATCCGATGACACCATAAGGCTTTACAGATATCCTAAAAGGAGAAAAAAGGTCATCAGTATTACAAATGACCCATGAAAACTTTAAGGGGAAACAACTGATATAAATTAAAACTGATATCTACTTAGCAGTAGATGCATAGATAAAGTGAGAACCCTGAAGATTCATGTTCTAGATTTGGTTCATCCTTGAAACTTTATTTGTTTTTTTTCATTATAAATTTACCAAAATTATATTTTCTAAACTAATAAGTTAAATATATCCCTCGCCTGGTAGCTCGATTGGTTGGAGTCCCATATACCAAAAGGTTGTGTATTTGACCTCTGGTTGGGGACATACAGGAGGCAACTGATCAGTTTCTCTTTCTCTTTCTTTCCCTTCTTCTCTGTCTAAAATCAATCCTAGGGTGAGGCTAACAATTAATAAGTAAAATATGCCTAATCCAGACATTGCAGACAATTCCAAAAAATTAAAATTAACAAAACAATAAAACCTAAGATATTATAATTTATCCTTGACCCCATCTTTCATTAAGTTCTCCAAGTCTGAATCCCCAATTTTCAAATTAAAGAGGATTATGAATCTTGCTGCCTTGTCCATTGATCCATCCATATATCCAGAAATAAATCATAGAGTTAGAAAACCCTTAAAATATCATACAATCCTTGTTACTGTTTTTCAACATATCAAAAATTATTTGATATTTTGGTACCCTATAGATGTAACTGTCTGCCATCAGATAAAACATGACAGACACTCTATTCTGAAAAACAAATAAAATTTCTAGTACCTCAAAGAATTAGATAATACAGTAAAAATTAAACCACAACCAAACAACCAAAACCAATCACTCCTGTACACGTTTATCGTACTTTGACTTAGCCGCTGACCGCTGGACATAATGTACAGTTATTGTATTAAATTCAGCATCGTTGTTGCACGTCATTATATTCTTAATAAAACTTCAGGGTCCTCTTAGAACAAAGACCCTTTTAAATCATGGTTCTAGGGCCTGAGAGTTGGAATGTAAGATGTTCTGGGCATGGGGGAAGCTCCCAATTTCCACAGAAGCCAGGACACGAAGGTGATCAAATTTCCAAGTATTCTGGCAGCTTGTATTTCAGACTGCAGGGTAAGGGCAGCAAGCAATGTTGACAAAGCATATAGCTACTTGATGAAGACACAAAATTTATAATAATCAATATTTAACTCAGAAAACAAGTTGAAGCCCAAGTAGATAGTTCACTCATGATTTTATTTTTGCAGCTAAGAAATACTATCTTAATGAAGGCTCTCACTTGCTATTCTATTCCCTAATTTAAGATCTATGCTTGCAAAGACTAACTTTAGTAATATGACTTGGTGCATTTTAACATTACAACCTAACACCTCCATAAAACCATTTTCAATGACTGTGTTGAAAATTTATTGTTTCTATATTGTGAATAGAGTGTCAGCAGATTCATTTTCTCAAACTGTCTGTATTATGCTCTCCAAAAATGTAAACTGAAAATGTAATTACAAATGATGTAATAAAAAGGTATACAATCTATTACAATTATTTGTTTTGCAAGCAGTGGGCTGTTTTTATCACTAAATTTGATTATCACTATGTAACTCATCAGTGACAGAAAACCATGGCCATTTAAGCATGGGAGTTTACACATTAGTATATAAACATACATACATATACATCAAATGTACATGCATCCAAAGATTCCTTTGCATTTGCACTGTATATTAACTTTTGAAACTAATTAGCATGTGGTACTTAGAAGAGGTGCATCCCTTTCTAAAGTATCACCCATCCATCTATATATCACCCTGCTCAGCAAATTTAATTAAGTGGCTCTTATGTGATAGGTGTTGGCCTAGGCACTGGGTAATTTTCTTCCCATTTATTCTTTTATGTTTTTCTATCAGAAGACTTACTAGTCTTTACATTTCAACCTAACAAAATAGAACTATTTTCATAAAATTTCAGTAGAAGTTCATTAAAAAAGATAAATTTCATAATTAAAAATGTCCTTGAGATAATTCAGTCCACATAAAAAATAAAAAAATCTCTAATTGCCATATAATATGTAATTTTGAATTCAATATATTAGAGATTCTGTCACAAAAATATAATTTAACTTATAAAGACAAAATACATCAAGTTTATTTGTGTTGAAGAACAATTTTACATGATGATGAGCTGACATTTTGTTGAAAAGTTTTTTTTATTTCAAAAGGTTTTTCTTCTACTGTCATAATTAAGTAACTGATAATAGGCTTACTTTTTGCATATGAAAACGATAAAACTAGAAAAAATATAGAGGCGAATTGTTTTAGACCTCTCATGACAGGTAACATAGTACATGATCCTGGAGTGAAGGGAAACTCACAGGTGAGTGACAAATTTGCCTCAGCTCCCTGCATTGCATGCAAATATTTCCTCAGTAATGAAAAAATGGAAAAATATGCACATTAACTTATTTTCTATATTTTCCAAATGGTATGAGGATATCATGGATGACATAATCCATGGTCACAGAGCAAAGTAATGTGGAAACCAGAAGTATGTTTCTAGTTTGAAATAAAACATTCATTTTAAGCACTTTTTTTTTTAACATAAAGAAGAGTAACACTCAAAAAATTCTTAGGAAATTCACATTGTGCCCATGGAATATATACTGATGTGGACTGATTTATTATTCTTGGTCCAAGCTGAGATGACTCAGCTGAGGAGATAAAAACCCAGTCTGGCACATGGCTATAACTGACCTTTGTAGGAGCTCTATTTGAGTTTAGAAATTGGGAATATTCTGGTGCATTTTGAAATGTTTGGAGGTTTCTGGAGGACTATATATTTTTTGTCTACCTTCGTCTTAATTCTATTATAAACTAGAATGAAAGAAATCTCAAAAAGAGTTACTTTCATTTAATCTATGGGTAGGTCTCCTTGTGGTTCAGTAAAGCAAGTTCCTAAATCTCCATTTCCCTGTCCAGCAAGAACACTCCTCTCTGTGTTATATGAGGAATTTATATTAGGAGAACATGCGGGTGATGTCCCTGGGGTTGGTGAACTAGCTAGCATCTCCTTCAAGAAACTTGTCTATATATACTTTATTTGGAGAATTTAGTAATCAGAAGCCCTAGATAAGCTGCTACTTTATAGTAAATTATGCTTAAAGAGGTGGAAGGTAATGGTGGACCTTGTTTTTCTAATACCACTTTAAAAAAATGCAGAGTATTAGTTTGCCAACTTACACCAACCAAAAGTAATTGCTGATCTCCCACGTGATAAATCAGAAAGAAAGAAGTGACCTAACAGGCCAAGTCGTTCTCAAGTGAAAACTGATACCCACAACAGTATCAGTCATCATTTTCTTTGCCAGTAAAACATGTGTTTCCTGTTATACGGGGCCAGCCCTAACATACAGGATTTGACATTTGGTAGGTACCCAATAAGTGCAGAATACATCAATGTCAGTTACACTGAATAAAACGGTTTTATGAATAATAGTGCACTGAACACTGGCCAGTAATCACTTGCCTTTTTAAAATCCAGCATGCAAAGCTTGGCTTTCTCTCCAAATTGCCACTTGCACTGTGTGTTTGCATCGTATAACTGTCCCGGCAATTTCTCAGGATACTTGTATTCTTTCACAGGCTTTGGCTGATCAGCAAGGCATGTCGCTTGGGCAGTGCTGAATCAAAGAGGAGATGCCAAAAGAATTATCAAAGAGGTACATTCAGTTATGCCATACAATTTACCACATATATTATATAGAGAAGAGGAGATTTTTTTCCCTAAAGGTCCAATATAACAATTATCTTAATTAAATTTCAATATAGGGGCCACATTTTCAGAAACTGTTCATTTTGCTTTTTCCAGGAAGGCAATTTGTTTTTTCTTAGATTACTCAAAATCTTCATGGGGAAAAGCGAAATGGAATAATACAACCAGATGTTCAATGTGAAAAGCTCCTATTACAGACCTCTTTTATGTACACTTCTTGCCAGGAACAATCAAAAGATGGAAATGGGTATTGTAAAAGGCAAAACACAATCTGCCAATTTCAAAGATTAAAATGTGTTTTCTCTCCCCCTCTCTCTCTGCCTGCCTCCCTTTCTTCCTTCTTCTTCTAGGCTAGGGGACACCTGCACAACAGATTATAGCTTCCAAAGGTTCTGTATGAACCATTGCAATACTTTCCACCAGAAATGCTCTATACTCATGCTAATTTCTTACTAGACTTCGAAGTCCAGGAGGAAAATAACTCTGCTTAAGTTTACTAGCAGATGGCTAAAGGCCAACTAATAATTCCTTCCTCCACAAATACAGTATCCCCTTCTCTACCAGGGCTGTACTTAGGTATAATGTTTGCATTTGGAGGGAGGAGGGACAAGTGTTTGCAAATAGCAACTAAATCCTACTTATAAATTTCAATAAGCCAAAAGGGGAAAAAAGGCCTCTGTAATCACAATAAATTAATCAACAGCAGATCTGCTCATGCATCTCCAACCTTTTCTTTGTGTGCTTGTCCACCTTGATTGGAATCTTTCTGGCCCCAGTTTTCAGGGCCCTAGTCCCAGATTCCTGTGCCTTGGAGCCCACTGATGCATGACTTCAATTAATATCCACACACAAAAAACATGAGGGATGGCACAAGCCACTCTGCACGAGACATTAATCCTACATGCAATGAGGTCAGAAGGTTTTTCAGAGCAAACCAAGGGCATATTTATGAGTAAAGAAAAATGAATAAAAGCATAATTAACACTTCAAGACAGGAGTGATTTGTCAAACTGTGAATTCCACAGCCCCTCTCTCCAATGGATCTCAAATGATTTCTGTATACTAGTAAGATGTCTCAAATTATTTCCCAAAGTTTACATCAGGGTTGGCAATATTATTCCCTGTCCATGGGCAGGATACTAGGTAAAGTCAGCTATACTGATTGGTTCACATGAGAGATTGAAAAATTACAAAGAGGTTCACAGGTTCAGGAATTTTTATAGTTTGTGTAAATGTAACTTGCTATTTATAATTCAGCCTTAAAATTAAAATCAAAGAGAACTTCCCCTTCTAACTATGGTGGCCTGGCATGTATCAAATGGATCCTTCTGTAGGCATCAGAAAACTATTAAACTAAAAAGGACACAAGGGATGAAAATGTACAGAGCAAAGGGAGGCACAGAGCTGAGTCCGACACCCAGTGCTATTTTCCTCCTCAAAAAGGGAATTTGTTGAGTTGTAAGCATCTGCTAGGTAGACAAGTGGCAGAGTAGAAAGTGAAAGCTGAGGGCCTGAGGAGCTGAGTAAAGTTTTTGGCAACCTGGTGGGGCTGGGAGATGAACATTGGAACCAAGGCTCTGCCGGAAAGGAGGGGCCCTGGTACACCACAGGATTTTCATTGACGGTACAATAGGCCTCATTCTAGGAGTGAGAACAACCTCAATAGGCCAGGTTAGAAAGTGAATGAGGATAAACTCCAACCACCCCATCTGCTAAAAATAAAATCATTACTTTGTCTTTAAACGTTTCATAAACAATGCCCTCATTTATCAACATTAGTATGTTTACTAGGAGATAAGATCAAATGATTGAAATCCAAGAGAATATACACATAATAGAGGCAGACTCATAGGAAATTTAGCTACTAGTATAATCAGAAATAGAATTCAAAATTACTGTAATTAATAGATTCAAGAAAATAAAAAATGAAGAATTTCACCAAAGAAATAATGCATATGGTGTATTGTAAAAAGTTATAATATTAACAAAATTGGAACCCCCCAAAAAAAGAGAGGATAGGAAGAATGGGACAGAGTAAATATTTGTAAATAAAATGGCCAAGAATGTTCAAAAACTGATGGAACACAGCGAACCATAGATTTAAACAGTTCTAAAATCCCAAACAGAAAGCACACATAGGTACATATAGGAATTCTACAGGGAACCAAAATCACACACACAAAAAATCAAAAGCTACCTGAAGAAAAAGAGACAAGACTGACAGCTGTTTTATCAATAGAAATGACAAAAGCCAAGAAACAATGAAATGACAGCTTTAAATTACAAGAGAAAGATAACTGTTGAACTAGAATTCTATTCAAAACCAAAATACCCTTTACAAAGAGAGTAAAATAAAGACAAACATGAATATCCCACTAAGAAGCCCACAATAAAACAAACGAACAAACAAACAGACAAACAACACTCTAATAGGACTGGCTCAGACACAGAGGAAATGCTCTCAGATGGAAAATGGAAATGCTAGAAGCAATGAAGAGCAATGTAAGGGTAATTATGTTGGTCACAAAACCACAGAGAAAAGCACATGCTGGTGAGGAAGAGGTCCCTGCCTGGTCAATAAACACACAGTGCACAGACTGGGAGCCTGGAAGAACCCCACAGTTGGGGAAGATGCAGGAACACACATATCAAAGCCAGGATATGAAAGTCAGCTCTGATTAGCGTCACATATGAAGAGCTGAAACTCCACGTGTTGAGCTCACCCCTTTTAGATCTGGTTAGGCTCATGCTTGCACCTGCTTGCTCCTGCCCTATCAGGTCACACAGCTAAGCCCAGTCAGTGAGGCAAGTATAGGGATCCCCCAGAATGTGGGTGCAAGAAGGAAACGCATGACAGACATTTTATAAACAACCTACCAAAATATCTACAAGGATAAAAGAGGTCTTGACTCTTTCACATGCCCTGCACCAAAATCAGGTGGCTTGCATGTGACAAGAAAAACAGTAAACTTTGTAGGACAGCGGTCGCCAACCTTTCGGACCTCACGGACCAACAGTGGTCCACAGACCACCGGTTGGCGACCGCTGTTGTAGGAGATCATGGGACAGACGATATGCATGACTTTAAGGTAGGCAGAGTGTTTTTTCAGCAATGCACCAAAAAATGCTTCTACTGAAGGGAAAATATTGAAAATTTAGACTCCATTAAACTTGTGTTAAAGAAAATGAGGCAAGGTCAAAGGTACCACAACATGTCAACATCCTTTTCCCACTCTTATTCATGAACCATAAAATATTAAACAGCCTGAGAGATCTTTTAGTTGTATTTCTTCCTTTTCCAAGTAAAAACTCCAGGTCCCCCGGAAAGGTTATGTCTCTTGCCACCATCAGGACCCTCCCAGACATAGTGATAAAGGCCTGATCAGCATGTAAGCTCTGTTTCCCTCTGCTGCTCTTTCCATCACATGGTGGTACCTGTTTTCCAGTCTTCACGTCATATGTGCTCTGCAGAAACGGCAACATGCTGTGACTTACCGGTTTGTTTTTCTTAAGATGAACATTATATAGCGGAGCAAAACGTGCACTGAACTGTACTATTTCCATTAAACCCTAAAGCAAGCATAATCAACTCTACAGTCAAATCACAATTTCTCATCGACAGGGTATAGGGTATGACAGGGGACCCATGCACCCCTCAAACTTCCAGTTCTGGTCACCTTTCTCATGTACTGATGTGGACTGGTGTGGTCAGAGGGGAGGCATGTTCAATGACCAGTAGTACATGACTTACATTTCAAAAAAATAAGTTGATGATGAGTCCACGCTGTCATTAAGTTTAAAATAATGAGCTAAATTTTCCCTAAGTCCTAAGCCTCCAGGATGTAGACATGAGTAAATGTGATGAGGCCTGTGTCTGTTCATAGGAAATGACACATTACTTTATTGACTAGGTTGATGAATGTACTCCAAACATGCATCTGTCCTTCTTGACTCTACCAAGTAGGGAGAAAAGTTGTGCTGACAACTTTAGGCCAATTGAGTTCCTTATTATATGTTTTTTTCCGTGTACCACATGCTAAATTGCTAATAAAGGAAGTTAGATTCATCATTAAGAGTTTGCATTTATCCTTACTCATTGTCGGGATCATATCCAAAGAGCCACCTAAATTGGTGGAGAATGTAGCAGTGTTTTGATTCCTTGGAAATCAGGAAGTCAGCAAACATGTCAAAGAAGACCAAGTCAGATTCATTAAGTTGATGAAAAATCAGTGTTAACACGCTGTAGACATGTCCAATTTATAACTGGTCATCTCAAGTAAACCTTCATAGCGAACTTGATATTGAATGTCTTTTTTGGGGAAAATTTAATCTTCCAAGAAAACAGACTTAATGAGTATGTAAAATCTTGCATATTTACTTATCATCATGGGGTCCAAAGAAATTTAAAAAGTCCCTGAAAATAAAGGCCCATTACTGAATTGCAACAGAAAGGTTTTACTGATTGGCACAAAAACAAATGAACATACTTCAGATTACATTAAACTGTTCCAATAACACAGGACAAAAATGGCTTTGAATTCCAGAACCTTAATACTGTAATCATTCTGAAAATCATATTCTGATTTGAAGATTACAACCCATATTTAGTGTCATCAAAATAAGTATTCTCTAAGCATATAAATATTTTTTTCCATGAATTTCCCTATACTTATTGGCAGTTAAAACACATTTTCTGGACACTTTTATGATGCTGATTTTCACTGCACATCTGAACTTGGCATCCCCTGTTTCCCAAGATGTCAGTGAACATTTATAAAAGCTGAAAATGTTTATGTTATCTTCATCATACGTAAGAGGATGAAAAAGCAATACAATTTTTTTAAAAAGACTCCAAAATTATAGAAAGAATTTGAGATATAGAAAATTCCTAATTTTTCTTATTAATAGAAGAATACCGAGAGCCTTAAAACGAATGTTCTTTATTACAGTAAGCAGAATTCTTTACACACCCACTTACACACACACACAGCTGCAAGAAAAAAGCTAAACATAATACTAACAATCCCCAACTTGCTTTCATGAGAATACTGTGTAGGGAACAAATGCTAAAAGGAACCCCTGTGTGTGTCATGCCAATTGTAGAATAATGTTAACATTGCCTTTTTAAATAATAAAAATAGAAAAATGACCAAGTGTATATCCCTAGTATATAGGCTTATATTACCAGGATACAGATATTGTCCACAAAATTCTCACTCTTCCTGGGTGGCATTAACTATGAAAAGCAGTCAGAGTCAATATTTTACCTGCAGTCTTAGAATAGGACTATGAGGAAGGGACCACAAGCTGAAGGCTGGAGTCCATGCATGCTGGTGGCCAGGATGCTGGCTCAGAAAATGTGTTATGAGGAGAACTAAAGGAAGAGGCAGCAATCAAGGTAAACCAGCCATAGGTTCACTGATACAGGTGGGCATGGAGGAGCAGTCCATCCGATAATAGACAACAAATATTAGTAAAACTGACTAAAAGAGTTCATTACCATGCCGGAATGGTGTTCTAGAAACAAGACAATGTAAATTGTGGGGGGGAAAGAAAGAAATAAGAGGAAAAGAGGAACTCTACTGAAAAAAAATAAGAAAGAAAGAGAGAAAAAGAGAATGAAAACCTAAAACCCAAAGTAAGGACCTCAGTGAAACTGGCCAGAGAGGCCAGTTGAACTGTGAATGGTATCCAGAGAAGCTAACAGGGATGGCATACTTTTGTCCTTAATTTTTAGCTTGGAGTAACTAGTTTAGTTTTGACCACAATAATATATGTTACAAAGACTTGGAAGACAGCTAGCTTCCTGCTAGTCTGGCACTTTTTGGGTGCTGCCAACCTGTTTCTTCTTCCATCAACTCTGATCAAGCCAGTGCCAGTCATGAGCTCTGCAGCTGCCTCTCTATGCTGTGTTGCCTGTTCAATTGCTGGCATCATGTTGTAGTAAAACCAATAAAAGTACAAGAAAAGTGTTCCCAGTGGCTGTGTAGACTGACCCAGGATGGAATCACTCCAGAGTTGGGTCTAGAGGAGGGTAGAAGTGGGAGATCACACGTGTGTCATCAGGTATGAAATGGTACAAACAGGTAACTTTATATCAATGGTTCTCTTTTCTGTGTTTGTATTAATATTTATGAATACACACTATACAACATATAAATATAATTTTATTGTTAAAAATTTGTAAAATCTATTTTATATATCAAATGTATAATATATAAAGTATTATGTAAATGTAAGGTATATTCATAAAGTATAAAGAAACATTTTTAAGTGCATGCACATATGTAAATCTTTAGTTATTTTTATATATACATATGCACAGTTCTATTTATTTTTAAAATTCTGTGCTGATAAAAGCTTTGATTTCCCTGAAATATTGGTATTTGCTCTATTTTATGTTAATATGAACAGATTATATCTCCTTTTTGTTGCTTTGGTTTCTAGAAAGATCATAGACCAATTTCAAGCTTCACAATCACAGCTAAAGATTGTCCTTTAGGATCTATATAATTGTTTTTTTCCCTTGGTCTTCACTTTTTTCCCCATTTGCTTTTCTCTGCATCTGCTTGTGAATTATACTATTTTTTTTGTATGATAACCTATTCCAATTCCTTTTTTTATTTAATAATTTTTATTGTGTTCATATTTCTTGTTAGTCTTTACTTCACAGAAAAGATGTAGGTGCCAAGGCATTCCAAATATATAGAACTAGAGGCCTGGTGCATGAAATTTGTGCAGGGGGTGGGGGGGTCCCTCAGCCCGGCCTGCACCCTCTCCAATCTGGGACCCCTCGAGGGATGTCTGACTGTCAGACATCCCTCTCGGGACCACTGGCTCCTAACCGCTCACCTGCCTGCCTGCCTGATGCCCCTAACTGCTCCCCTGCCTGCCTGATTGCCCCTAACTGCTTTCCTGTTGGCCTGATCACCCCAACTGCTCTCCCCTGCCTGCCTGATTGCCCCTAACTGCTTTCCTGCCAGCCTGATCGCCCCTAACTGCTCTCCCCTGCTGCCTGATCACCCCTAATCACCTCTGTCTCGGCCCCGCCACCATGGCTTTGTCCGGAAGGATGTTCAGAAGTCGTCCAGTCTATCCGGTCTAATTAGCATATTACCCTTTTATTAGTACAGATAGTTTCATTTTTAAACACTTAAGCTCTTAGTACTGGATGATTCTTTGGAGATTGTGATTGTTTTATATTCACTCAGCCATCCAGAAAAGAACATTCACACAGGACTATGCTCCCTTATCCAAACCTGTGGTGTCAGCTGTGTTTTTAGGATTGTTCAGATTTTAGAAAACTAATACAGTGCATATACTGTATATTATATAACCACTCCAGCAGGGGATAGAGCAGGGCCCTGTAATCAAGCACATAAGGTTTTTATAGCAAAAAATAGGAATCATCACTTTAAACATATTCTGGAGCAATGAGAAATTATATTGAAAAAGATGTGTCTGATACTTCCATCTTTCTCATTGTACAGGTACTTTTCAATTACTAAAGAAGTCTTTATTTCCCTAGGCCAGGAATTTTTCTTTCTGGATACTCTGTATTTAAAAGAAATTGTTTTTAAAAATCTGTAACTACTACATTTTTATTTTGTGTATGTAATAAACAATATAAATTAGAAGAAAGAAATCTCTCAAATTAAAAAAAATAAATTCTTTAAATCCAAGGTGTTTATAAGCTAATGTATGTCAGCTAGTAGAATACATATTGATTAGCTTTAGGTAACTTTACCAGGAAATGAATTAACCAACCTGAAAATTCCAACAGTCTGTATAATTTTAATACAGTTTTCACAAAATGCTAACAAATAACTTCTGACTAAGCAAATCAGATTGAGTCAGAATGACTTAAAATACATCTGTCCTTTTTTTCCCTTATTCTTTTTTTAATTTTAATTTCTTAAGGTAAGGTGGTTTCATTTATTAGCTTTCTACAAGAATATACAATTAAAATGGAAGTGATAATTCTTATATTTTCTTTCACAAATCTAAAAAATATGAATGTGTTTAGTTGAGAAGTACTAGAATCAGTAGATGATTGTGAGTCAGTGAGTTGTTAGCAAGCAAACACAATTCTTCTGTGTCTGGTAAAATACATTTCTGATGAATAAACATGTCCTTCATCCTGAATAAGAGCAGTTCTCCTTCCTGGGAGCTAAAGAAATAATAATGTTCCCATTTTGGGTGTCTTACAGGAGGAACAAAGATATCAAACCATAGTCTTATCCAGGTATCACCATGGTCCTCAAAGACTGTATTCAGAAGCGAAGAAAGGGATGGTGAGAAGTTCAGGTGGATCCAGCACCTAAATTCTTATGCCTATGTAATCAGCTGTCTATGTTTATTATCAGATATAAGTCATCAAGAGTTAAGAGCTACTTTCTAAGCAAATAAAAATTCTTCCTCATCTTTATAATATTTAAGCCAAGTAATTTTTTTAAGTAACTACATGTAAAAACAAAAATAAATGTTATGAGTTCAACAGAATTGCTTTTCCTTGGCTCTTTAGATATATGGTTCTTGGGGTCAGTGAAGTCAGGTCTAAGGTTCAGCATTCCTAGGTTCTATTTTCAATTCTGCCAATAATTATCTGGTCCCTGCAATCTCAGCTACATCACCTATAATGTGATTTGGGGCTGGTGATACAGCACATGTTCCTTTCTGTATGAATCCTCTTGTTCTTTTCCTCCAGAGCACACAGGTAGACATCTCTTAGCCCCACTTCACTTTGGAGGGCCCTCAGCTGAATTCTCAGTTCAAAAAATACAGCCCCTTTCCTTCACATCCTCCAGTACTGTCTTTTGCCAGCCATTGGCTGGATGGAGTAGAGAACAAGATCCTAAAAGAGGAAAGAGCCACAGGGTGAAAGGAACCTGGGTCTCCGAATGACTACATGGAGCAGAGATCTCACCAACCTATACTGGCATTTGGTGCAAGTCAGAAATAGCTATTGTTTAAAGCTTAAGCCAAACAATAAATGCAAATTCATTGAGATTTGGGGAATAATCTACCTTATTAACAGATCTAATGATATTTCTTAAAGTCCCTTCTTTCTCTATAATTTTAAAAGATAATGACTATTGTTCAGGGAGTCAAATCCTACCTTCCAAATATTCTATACCCTAAATGAATTAGTGCTATAATCAAATTTCCTAAAAATAATGATTAAAATAATAGGCTTTTACAGCCAGGTTAAGGTTTATATATTCAAGTTTTTCCTCCTATTAAGAAATGAATTTTGTTTAAAAAATTTACGTGTGCTTTACCATTGTGTGCACTGATGTATACATGCCAGATCTTCCCATTCAAGGACTGAGATGTCTAGTTATAGACAAGAGAATTAAAAAAAAACCCTAAATGTAGACAAAATATTTTGGCTTGGTAAGTATCATATGGACTTCCTTTGAGTTTAAAGGTTGAATGATGTTGGATTAAGCCTACAGGCCTCCATGCTCTAAGGAAGTGTTTGGCAAACTCCTTAGTCAAATAAATATCTCAAGACACTTTCAAATGGGATCCACCTTGGGAAGTCACACCCAAGCTTGGTGGCTGCTTGGACAGGATCAGGCTGACTAGGTATTGACCATCAAAAGCACCAAGAGATATATGACCAGCTTCAAAAGTTCATACCTTAAAAATTTGTGCAGGTACTGGCGGCTGCAGGGTGACCAGGAGAAGACCCCATTGCGTCCTGCTAATGTAGGGGACATTATGTTGCCCTCAGACTTTTTGCACATGTTCCCTTCTCCATCATGGATCATGCCAAAGCTACGAGAGAGAGAAATGGTTCTTTCAAAACAAAGAATGGTTTAAATTGTCTAATATACTCTAACAAGCACATGTAAAAACACTGTGAAGACTCCCCTACTTTTGAGTGCTAGTCAGGCAGAGAAATTATGGCTTTAACAGCCAAATTGTGGAGACAAGGCACAGATTCATCGACTTTTCCTGAAGAACTACCATTGACTGGGTTGTTTGAAAGTACTCACAAATATCAAAACAGAGCACTGTCCAGATGTTGCTAAGGGCAGATGCTTTCTTTATAAAAAAGCATTTCAAATGGCATGGGGTGGGCCATTTGCTTGATCTTGGTAGAGCTAAAACTGTTCTATATTCCTTCATTCCCTCTATGCTCTCTTCTGCTCAGAATTTCCAGTGTTTGTCAGAAATACAGATGCCAGACTCCCCAGGTGTGTTTGATACCTAACACAATTTGAGAATTACTGGCCAATTACTGCAACTCTTGGTTCCTACACCTACCCAGTACTGCTCCATCTAAGGATAGGTCTACACTGCCAGAAGCTGTGACAGCTGGACATTTATTGACCCAAATACTCCCTGCAGCCCTTTGGAGGAAGTGGCTCCATGGGACCCCAATGAGTGGCTATAGTTACCTTTATTTCTGGGCCTTGTTTGACAGTGAACCTGTTACAGACAGAATATTAAGCATGCTACCTATGTTTTTAAAGGTAAACCTCACTACAAGCCTATAACATAGGTATAATATAATGACAGCAAGACTGAGGACTTGAGAGAAGCTTGTCCAGGGTCTCAGAGTCAGGACAAGAACCTGACAGTCTAATGTCAGAGCCCAGGTGGGACCCATGCAATAGTATAATCCAAGAGTGATTGAAGGATGTATCTGAGAAATTCTAGTGTGCAAACATTGTCCAATTTCTGCAAAATTCCTACTCAGTACCAAGGGTGATGTATATGCAGTCATTTCAGCCTCCACCCATTCTCTGAAGTTCTATTAAAAGCAATCAATCAAGGCCAGAGTAACCATAAGGCAGAGAAAATGTGTCATGGCTATGGAAAAGATTCAGAATGTAATCACATATGGGTGGCTGCTTTGGGGAGAAAGTGACCAAAATGAAATACCAACATACCCACCCCTGGCTGGCCCTTGATCTGAATGTGGAGAAGACACATTATGGGCCATCAAGTACCCTAGATAAGTTTGTTACCACTTTTGCCTACATTTCTAAGAAATTCAGTCACAATACCCCAGTTCTGAGAACATCTTGGTCTTGAACTTTTCTCTAATGCATTTTCAATGATTCTTTCTAGCATTAATCTCAAACTCTGCTGTGCATCAGAATACCTGAGAAATATACTGTATAGTGTGTCTATGCAAAGCCCACCCTGATAGGTTTCTGATTTAGTAGATTGTGGGTTTGGCTCTAGCATTTGGGTGTATTCTGACACAGTAAGTTGATTCTCATACCCACCCAATCTGGGCACCACTATTTTAAGAGTCGTGTTTCCAAGTAGTACAACTCCCATAAATGGTACTGCGATGTTTGCCAACACATTAGCATGAAAGTGCCACAATGATCACATTTGATATTCACATTAATATAGTCATGGATGAATGACTAGAACACATTCTAAAGATAAGGTTGGTATTTGGCAACCCAGAAATATGATTAATATTCAAGTTAACATGTTGGGTAAATTTTTGCTTCCATGAACCATAGTACTTTATTCAAAGTGACTACACCCCATTTATTAATGTATTAAATATATACATACATATTTTTTCTTTCCTACCTACTATCTAATAAATTTCTAAAGAACAGAGATTCTTGTTATCCATGCACATAACCCCAGAGCCAGTGGGCTCACCAGTCCATAACAGGTTCTCTATTCATATTTGTTGAATGAACAAAGAACAACCTTCCAGCTTTAACACCAACTCAATTATCCAAATAGAAACATAATTTTAAAATAAATTAGACTGGAGAATTATGTTCAGTGTCAGATGCCTTTAATATCTTCTATAGTACTTTCTCGAGTGATTCAATTACATCGTGTATTCCTTCATTATTAATGACATACTCAGATGAACAGCCAAGTATATTTAGAGGTTGTATCAATTATTTCAGGCTGTTTAGATAAAAGGGGTTGAGGAAATGAGAAAGTCTCTAAAGAAACCATATTGGATAATAAATCACATCCTTGGCCTGATGATGGTAACCGCTGGTAGAACCCAGATGTCCAGAGCTCTGATGCAGGTTTTTCAAAAAGTCTCTGTCATTCATAAATGGTTTGACTTTGGGCAAATTACTTAAATCCCTGAGTTTCAGTTTCCTCACATAAAATGGGATAATAAAAGTCTCCTCAGAATACTTGCCACCCTGCATGTCACAAACTAAATTTCAAAATTTCTATCCATTTCTCTGATTCAAATATGATCTTGGTCAAATCACTTAATACCTAGACACCATTTGTGTGTGTGTGTGTGTGTGTGTGTGTGTGTGTATGATATATATATAGCATATACATACATTATATATACATCATATATACATCATATATATATATAATATATATTACATTCTGAATATATATATACTAGAGGCCCGGTGCACAAAAATTTGTGCACTCGGGGGGGGAGAGGGGGTCCCTCAGCCCGGCCTGTGCCCTCTCGCAGTCTGGGACCCCTCGGGAGATAACGACTTGCTAGCTTAGGCCTGCTCCTGGGTGGCAGAGGGCAGGTCCAATCCCTAGGTGCAGCCCCTGGTCGGGCTCAGAGCAGGGCTGATTGGGGAGTTGGGGCGCCGGCCCCTGTCATGCACAGAGCAGGGCGGATTGGGAGGTTGCGATGCCACCCTCAGTCACGCTCAGGGTAGGGCCGATTGGGGGGTTGGGGCACCGCCCCCTGTCACACTCAAGGCAGGGTCGATGGGGAGGTTGCGGCGCCACCCCTTGTCACGCACAGAGCAGGGCCGATCAGAGGGTTGGGGCGCCGCCACTGTCACACTCAGGGCAGGGCCGATGGGGAGGTTATGGCTCTACCCTGTCACACACAGAGCAGGGCCTGTGGGGGGGGGGGCGATCAGGGGGTTGGGACGCCGCACCCTGTCACACACAGAGTCGCAGGGCGATCAGGGGGTTTGGGCTTATATGGTTTGAGATACATGAAAAATTGCTCTGCACATTTATAAAAAGTGCGCCACAAAGAGAAGGTACTATAATTATTATTGCCATTATTGTTATAACTATTATTATCACTCATTTTGGCATTTAGCACATGCAATTAATTTGCACATCTCTTACAGATATGTCCTATTTCAATAAGATCAAAAGCTATTTCATGGGCAAATTGACTCTTTCGAGCTCCCAGTTCCTCTATCTCTTGCACAATCTCCTCTAAACATCAGGTGCTCACTAAGGAGTTGCTAATTTTCTGGAGGTTAATTCTATAGGGAGTGGGACTCCTCTTCATCCAAATCTAGAGCATCTGTCCTTCCTCCATCTATATTCCCTCTTGCAAGTACAAGCACTTATCTCTTGTTTGGAAAAATCTCTTTTTCCATCTAGACTGAGCCCAAGTGATAGGAGGAAGTATTAACAATGGACTTCTAAGAGAAAATAATAGCAAACACTGTTAGTCATTGACATTGAAGACCCCAGTGTTGGATGTATCAAGTTTAGCTTCTGTTAAGTTCACCACCTGCAACTGCTTGCACTGCCAATGCCCATATCTCAACTGCTTATCTAATGCCGATTTGCTCAGCCCTCGGTGACTTAAACATTTCTTACCTTGATTGTTTAATTAAATTCAGGTATGGTTCAGAGGACAGCAAGAGCCCCGTGTCGTTAAAATAATGAGAGTTTTTGAAGTTCTAACTCTAGTAGTCTATTAAAAAAACAATTATGATGTAACTGCTGAAAGCTTTATGAAGTGTAGGTGCAATTTTCTGGGCACTGAAAAAGTCAATCATTACCTGTAATGATGAAGGGATCAGTAATGGGATATACAGTTTCACTTTCAGGTCATCAGTTCATACACAATTCAAGTCTGCATGGCCTCTGTGTGGTTCCATTACACACAAAGGTGCACATGTGAACATACACACACAGACATGCACATACAGATGCTTTTAACAGGTCAGTGTAATGAGTGACCTCAGGCCATTTGCAAGTAAAATTGGGGTTAACGTAAAAAAGAGAAAATTATATTTCCTGGTTGTGCATTTTCTAGGAGAAATTTCAAGTTTAGCTGCAGTATAGTAGGAAAACACCTTCATATGGTCAGTGCTCCTATGAATCATGGCAATTGTAGGAAGTTAGCAAGGGCCCATTAAAAAATTAATAGATGGTGCCTCAAGGTAAGGCAAGCTTACAGCATTATAGGTCCAAGAAACCTTATCTAGTAATAAGTTTCTATTGATAGAAATTTTTCATTCAACAGGAATAAATATAAGCTTTTCACATAAAAAGATGCCACCCCTGACAAGCCACCCATTGCTGAGAGCTGCTTGTCCAGCAGCAGCATCTGTCTGTGCCAAGCTGCCAGGCTCACTGCTTGCCCTGATGCTGCCCCATTTCAAAACTGGCAACACTTGGAAAATGGGAACGTGGGAAGCAAACCATCTCCTACTGGGCCCAATATCCGGTAATACTTGCACTCCCCAAACTCTGCTCAGTACACCAATAAAAAAAAATACCTCTCCAAATTCTAAAAGAGATATGAGAACATGAACTCAATAACAAGTTAACAATAGAAGGGCCTGTTACTGCCCTCTGTTGTCTGGAGCCTCTAACAGGAGCTGACCATGGAATAGGATTAACACAGGACAGAGGAGCAGGACTGATACAAGTGTCTGCAATGGCAGGTGCAAGTATGAGCAGGAATATAAGGGAAGAACAGGGTGAGGAAAGTATAAACACATGCACTGAATGTGCAGGACAAGGCATTAAGATAAAAACAAAAGAAGTACCTAAGTGAAAATATTTACAGCCTGTCAATGACATTCTCCTTGGATATATGTGAACCCCCCTTACAGACTTGACCTAATGAATCCATATTTCTATTGCAACCAACCAAGAGGGAATGGACCCTGGGCTCGACCCTCCCATGCACATGTACTTACTTGTGTCCAGACTCGTGGGCGATAGTGAAAGCCAGTCCAAGACCTGTATCTTCATTAATCGTACAGCTGCGATATTTACTACACATTCCACTTATGGGCGCAAATCCTATGGGCATAAAGGTCAAACGAATATATAACAGTTTTCAATAAAATAAAGGAAGAGGGTGTATTATACAAGCTAATTTACTGTCCACCCTTTGGGGAAATTTGGTTCTCATATCCATCTGCTGAAATATGAAATAGGAAACCTTTAGACTCTTAACAAAAAGGGCTCTTAACAATGTGGGAGTAGGGGATCTGTTCTCTGCATGGAAAACTCTTCAGGGCTCTATGAAATGTTCATATCACAGGCTACAACTTGGACACAGTAGAAGAGGGGTTTCCCTGAAGATGGAGGAGAATTTCTGTCTCTTTCTATAAGCATATGTATTCTCAAAAGACGAAATAAAAAGTGCTGTGGGGAATGGGTGTGTCAGGAAGTCCCAAGACCACACAGGTTCAAGGATTTGCCTGGAGGACACACATAGACTCAGAATTTGTTATATTCATAGGTATGATTTAGCATGCCAAAAGGATAGAGAGAAACATTAGCAAAGGAAACAGGTACATGAGAAGCTTGGGGGAAGCAGGCATGAGCTTCCAGAGCCCTCTCCCAGTAAATCCACACAGGACAGGATTGATTTCCCTAGTAACAAGTCACAACAAGTGTAGACTGTTGTCCACCAGGGAAGCTCATTAGAGACTCAGTACCCAGGGGTTCTATTGGGGCTGATCACAGAGGCAGCCTCTGCCTGGCATGGACCCAAATTCCAGACTCCTAGGAGGAAAGCAGGTGTTCCACGTAATTCGCATTATTTGTTCAAACAATTTTGTCAAAGTGAGCCACACTTGTGAGGTAAGATGATGGGAACCTTCTTGAAATCTAAGTTCTCAGAAGCCAGCTAAGGGCCAACCTCATAAGCAGGTCTTCCTAGGACAAGCAGTCAGGTTAACCTATACTAAACTAAGTCCTATCTGAGTGGTTTTATAATAAAGGATCTTTCTCACTAAAATCCTAGGGAAAATGGAGAGTTAGGGAAAAATGTCCAGGAGAGCTCTGGTCAGGAGCACACTATGCTTAACACTATTTGAAAAAAATGTCAAAGTGCTGCCTCTAAGATCTACTCAGCCCTATAAACATATAAAATTGTTATGATTGAAACATTAATAAAGGAATTTTAAAAAATTAGGAATATAATATAGTTGTAATATCTCTATAATATTCATAAATGTACCATTTCTGCCACATAAGACACCCTTGACTCTTGACCCCATTCTCTCAGAAGAAGAAATGAAAAAATTTATTTCTTAAGTTAGAATAGACAAAAACTCTTGAATATATTATGAACATTCCTTTGTGAAGTAATCACTTTTGATGAATAAATTCAAACTTTTATTTTTGGCCAAAGTTCATACAAGGATGCCATTTTCTTCTTTAAAACTGCACTCAGCAGTGGCTACCACTTATAGATTGGGAATAGGGGCAAGAATTCACTATATATGGCCACAGAAGGCGCATAGCACATATGTGGTCCTCAAAACTCTGCTGGATGATCTTACCCAAAGTATCACAGGGCTCATTCTTCCAGGAGCATATGTCCAGACCTGTGAGTAAGATGGCGTGGTCATGGCGAGTTCCATCTTTCCCCATCAAACCAGACTGCCACTGGCAGAAGCTACTTAAAGTGTGATCCGCGTGATGGCTTATCACAAGCCCTGGCTATGCAAGAGAGAGCAAGGCCACCATGAAAACAGAAAGAAAACAGAGTATAATGCAATTGTTACTAGCATTGGTATCACAGCAAACTCTCATTAACTTGGATTTCAAATACATAGATGGATCCAAATAGCATATGTACTAATGCATCCATTTTATGTATTACAACACAAAAAAAGTATGTTACATAAAACCATAGAGATTTAGTGTACATTTCTCTAGTTCTGTGCTAAAACAGTTGGGATGCATTTAGCTGACCCTGAATGCATTTTCAGTGAGCCATGAAAGATTATTTTTGTGTATCAAATTTTTGTGTTAAAAATCTTTGTAAAACAGTTTGCAAAATTATATAAGACAATAGGATCATTTGCATGTGACTAAACACATACACAAAGCACACCTAGTCACTGCATGTTTACTTCATTAGCAAGTTGAGCAAGTGGGATTTCCAACTTATAGACCTTTTAATATTTATTATTGCAGTGTTACTAAGTCACCACAGAGGCATCATATTCATGAGGAAGGCAGGTCAACTGGGAAAGCTTTATTTCTGGAAAATAGACTGGAACTGGAAGGAAACCACATAGAAAACATGTGACCTTATTTGCATATACCAAGGTCTAGTAAAGTAACTGTGAAATATCAGAAGAACTTGTGAACACTTGGGAAATGAAGAATTTGGGAGCCGCAGGAACATCCAGAACAGGCTGCAATGAAAGGTGTGAACCTTATTTATAGCAATGCTATATTTTCCTATAATGGTCACAGAAAACCAGATCAAATACCTCAATTCTAGGACAACTTGTGTAAGGCTCTCATGACTGGAATGTTGTGTTGGAATTTTTGTCCTTCAATCATGCAATATGTTCTCTCTTTACAAGTTTTTGTCTTTCCAGAAAGTCAAATACACCTGAGCTAGATGTTGTACATCAAAACTGGGGCATGCCTTCCATTCTTCAGCTGGTGATTTCCAGGAACACTGCATTAATCAAAGTTAACACAGGTGTACGATCAAAAGATAACCTCTCCTATTCTTTGCAGCTTGGAGGAATTCCAAGGTGAAAACAATTTAATACAAGGAATAATTAACCTGTCACCTGAGAAACCCTGCTGGCTCAGCACCCCCTCCCCAGACACATACTTACACAAAAGACAATGAGGTTGTATCTTCCTGACTATTCAGGCTAGAAATAGGCATGTCCTAGCTACCCCCACTCTGCCCAGGAAAAGAGCAGAGCCCCAAAATATTAAAGCCCATAGGCATCTTAGATCTTAGATTTCATCTAAAAATCTTTTGTTTTATAAATAAACAAATAAACTATGGCTAACAGGAGATTCTGCTAAGACATCAGCAATGGTGGAACTGGATGCAGGGTGCCTGACTCGGGTCCCAGGCTCACTCTCCCATGCCCAGTCAATGATCACCTTGGGCCAGAATAGAAGTGAGAGCCTTTGATGGCTGAGATGCTTCCCGCCCCCCCGTTATTTATGCCACAAATGTTCATATGCATCCTCTTGTGAACTGAAATGTATGTCTGGACATTTAGACTGGGACTCTGGAATGGAGGCAAAGGAGGTGCTTTTACCAAATGCTACTAAGATCCAGCATAATTTGATTTTTTTATATGTAATGAGAGAAATGTGCTCAACACTTCAGAATCTCTATGAAAATAAAATCCTAGGATAAAGATGGTGAGGGTTAGTGGAATCAGTCTTAGCAGTTGGGAGACAACAGAGCAAAGCAATGCAATGCAACACAGTACAATTTAACTTCTACTCTACAGGACATTCTTAGTCTTCTAGCAAAAGACACAAGGGGCTCAGTTCCATGTGGCATCCTGAAAGCTCACGGTGGCTGAAGACACAGTTTGCACTTTGTCTCCCAAGTGTGGTTCCCACCCATATATTAAAGGCAGCTTTTCTATTCCATTTTCTCATAAAGCAATTATATAAGTACTTCTTACTACCTCTGCACAAAAACACAAACTGTCAAATAATCATTAAAGGAACTGACAAGCAACCCATTGCATAAGACACAAAATATTAAAATTTTTTGTCCCCAAGGGAAAGAGAATTAAAGAATCCATATTAAAGAAAACAAAGCGTTATTTTGCATTTATTTTTCTGGGAGAAAAGTTGATGTTTTAAAGACAGAATACCTGTTCCTCTTCTAGAAGAATCAGACCTACAATTGCAATGTTGATGTTTCCTCCTATTGTTCCATCTTTGAATAAAGCAGACACCTGAAAAAGACAGGTAATCCATGTCAGTCTCCATAGGTGACACCATTTTCCCCCAGCCCTCAGTCTGCCTGGAGTTCTGATGCTGAAGGCCAATCCCCATGTTTCCTAGTAATGTAGCAACATTATGTTTCTTATACTGCCCGACAGACAGGTATATGAATATCTTTCTACCAAAAGACCAATTGTTGAATCCCTGGCATTGGTGCTGGGAGTGAAAAACTGAAGTTTGGGGAGGGAGGTTCCACTTCTTTTCAAACCCCAATGTAGGGATTACAAGGTCTCTGAATTGCAAAGTGTCCTCAATTGAATTGAATAGAGGCTATTTTACTCAAAGTGATAACTGCATAGGTAAGTACTCCCCATGCTCTCCTGGCAAGAGATTCCAGAAGCATAAAACAAATGCTGGGAAAAGACCAAGAGGGCATGAGAAATAAAAGAAAACACGGAAAGATGATCAAAAAAAGAGACAAACATTTGAGATGATGATCACAAACATTTGAGATGGCATTTGGGGTGATAAGTGATGATAGTCGGCAATGTGGGATACAATAGGGAAGTGACTTGGCACTGATTTACCTCTCCCCACTCTACACTTGAGGTGTAGAAACATTAGAAAAGTTATACATAATAGAGGTGACACTTGCTCAAATCAGAGCATCCCAGGCCCTGCTGTCCTCAGCCCTGTGGCTGTGTAGTTGTAGGTGCCTCAGTGTCACTGTCTCCCTCAGTTCCCTAGGAGGTCATAAACCACATGGGTCAACCTACCAAAAATGACCCTAGCCATAATAGGCATGTGGCATAATGGAATATAAAACACACTTAGGGGTACTCTGTTCATTAAGGCAGAACATAAAGTAGATTTTTAAAATATTGTTATCACAACTCTTTTTAAAATATGTTTCTATTGATTTTTTTTTCTAGAGACAGAGGAAGGGAGAGGGAGAGGGAAATATTGATCTGTTATCTCCTGTATGTCCCCTACCGGGGACTGAGCCCAGAATCCGGGCATGTGCCCTGACCAGGGATCAACAAGTGACCTCTAGGTGCATGGGACAATGCTCAATCAATTGAGCCACACCGGCCAGGGCACAACTATTTTTTTTTGTCTTAAAAGTTCTTACCACATACATACACAAACACAAGTATCTATGTGTTGTGATAGATGTGCTAAGTAACTTTATTTTGGTAATCATTATGCCACATATATGTATGTCAAATTATCACTTTATACAGCCTAAATTTACAGAATGTTATATGTCAATTTTAGCTATCTTTTAAAACACATTTTGGTGACCCAAGATTTTATCTACTGTTACCTAGATGTCACTTAAGTGAAATGAGCCTTAGATACCTCTTACCACTCTTCCATAATTACTATAGCTGCCACGCTGGGGACAGACACTCCTTATCTGAGATGACATTCTAAAAAGCTGTATTGTTTTTCTGCTTTTCTAGATAAAATAATGTATACTCAATAGCTGGACATTAACATCCTTAAAATGAGTATTTCTATGTAACCATCTAAAAAACCACACATACAGTGGTGATAAACAGATTTGATGCACCAAAATGTCTCAGCATACACTTTTAGATTTCTGAACTGAGACATTAGTACATCAAAACAGGTTACTGGCTTACAGAGAGGATCAAATTCTTCATCCACCTTAATTTGTTCTCTGAAGTTCTAAAAATGGCTCTTTTGATCCGAGCATAGTAAAACTGAAGGACTTACCACAGATAAAATATTTCTATGTATGAGACATAAATCCACAAGTGAAAAGCAGAATGTAAAACACATATGCACACACACCCCATTAGGTGTAACTATACACTCAGCCTCAACACGATGGATGTTCTTACCATGTTAAGTATTGTCAGCACATAGGTGGTGATATTTTCATGGCCATGATTTTGCATCATCTTTTTGTCGACCACCACCAACGTCTCCACATTCAGTTCTTTATTCCTATGGGACTTCAGCAGAGAGCGCTTGTGCCGTGAGCAAGACTTGTACTCATCAGGCAAGATGAAAAGGTCTTCCTTGGGAGGCTTGGGCATGTCTATGAGGGATGTATAGACAGTGAATTAGAGCAAATTAATCACTAAAATGCGTGGTGGAACTTGTTATATAGAAATTGAATTTAAAAAGTGATTGTTCATTATATATGAACCATGTAACCCGTAAAACTTTGTGATACAAAACTTGTGTTAAAGTGGAACACAATTCAAATAAAGTCCGTAGAGCCTAGATGTCATGGAAATCATTGCTTTATTTACCTTTGTATAATTTTGTCCTGATTTAAAACAAGAGAAGGTCATTTTTGCTCTGTAGTGCCAGCATCTAGAAACATAAAGCTCAAAGACTATTAGCATAAGAATTTATGGAATGGGCTGTGCAAATGAATTATTGATAAAGCAATAAAACTAACAATTACAAGAAAGAGTGTTGTTTTGCATTATTTCCTTATTTGAAGGATTTTAATGAACTGACAGTTTTAAAGCTGAGTCCTATGTCTGCACACATGACTCGTTTGTCTGTAGTGTCTCAAACAGATTCTAAATGACTTGAGACAGATCAACCTCACTGCAGAGTTGGCTTTCCTAGAAAGCACCATAAATATTTACCTAACTTCATTAGAAGACAAAATATACTCTGTCCTCTTGAAGCAAGCCATTTAAAAATAATTATGACGCCTGGCCAGCAGAGCTCAGTGGTTGGGCATCGACCTGTGAATCAGGAGGTCAGGGTTCGATTCCCAGTCAGGGCACATGCCCGGGTTGTGGCCTCAATCCCCAGTGGGGGGACATGCAGGAGGCAGCCGATCAATGATTTCTCTCATCATTGATGTTTCCATCTTTCTCTCTCCCTCTCCCTTCTTCTCTGAAATCAATTTTTAAAAAAAGTTGAAGAATCTGTCTTTAAAAAAATAGTTTTGGCATTTATAATCAGTAAGTTAAATCTAGGTTAAAAACAATTCGGTTTAGTGGATACCTTAGAAAACGTGGTTAGAATTGTATCATGGGAAAACAGACTTCAAAATATCCACAGGTATTATGGTACTTATTCTTTCATTATAGGTGCCCACTGGTTATGGGTGGTTCACTCCCTTCCACAACATATATGGAGCTCCTGCTCATGCCCACCTCTATTTTAGGGCATTGGCTATAGCAACACAGGAAACCAAACAGCAGAAAAAGATGGGGCTGGGTGAAGATGGGCTCATGGGAGGAAGGCTTACTGAAGTGATGGTGGACAGAGAAGCTGAAGGAAGTGAGGGAAGTTCCAGAGAACACTGAACTCCTATTTTGAATTTGTGAGAGGTTCCTACATACAATGTAAATAACACATCACCTCCTAAATGTTCATGACAAAAAAAGACTTTGATAAAGCTTGGTGATAAATTGTAGGTAAATTTATGTCTTGCATCGTCTGTCTTTTGATGTGGTGAGTCAAGTACATAAATATGTATAGAGATAAATGACCTCAGCAGGAAAACTATGTGGGCTTTAATAAATCTAGACCTCAAAAATATAGAATTACTGAGTAGACATGCCAGAGTTCTTTTGAAGACGTCTGGTAGATTCGGTATTCCTCAGCAGTGCATCATTTAATCTGTCCAGGGAACAGCTTTTTTTTAAAAAATGAAAACATCTACCATTATCTATCCATCTATCATGGAGAGAGCTTTTATACTGAACATGCAGATAATGGACTCTCTTTGGAATTGTCGCTAACATTTAGTAAGGACAGTTAATACATGTCACTTTGGGAACAGACATAATTTGATGAAAATTAAAAATATTCCATCGGCTTATGTAAATGTTAAAATCATTAAACACATGAAGAGAATCGCCCTTACATACATTTCTTGCGTCTTCCACAGAAATGCTGCTTTTGTGGGTGCCCGAGGTCAAAGCCACCTTGCAGATTTTGATTTTCGTGGTAGAAGAGGTGGTGATTTTCCAGCTCCCGCTGCCTCTGGACCATCATTGCCTGGCGCCCCCTTGGAGCCTGTGGCTCTGTGGATCTCTTGTACAGTATGTGGGAAGGAGGCCCACCCCTGGCAGAGTCATTGAGTCGTCCTGCTAGGTGGGAAGGAAGTGGCTTTAAGAAGTAATCTGCTTCTTGTGTTCTTATCATGCCTGACTGGAAAAACAGTGAGAGGAAAGAAAACACAATTACACTTTCAATTGGAGCCATAGTCAGCTCTCCAAGCATTCCTTTATATCTTTGCTTACAAGCATACCATTCCCACCTTCTGAGGTTAAGCTCTGGCCCTAGTGTTCCTACTGATGGGGAAAGGTAAACTTGGTAAATTATCAATGAAGCTATCAGCACCATGGGGGGTAGACCTCCTGGGGCCTAACTGCCACCTCACAGTGGAAAGTGAAATACTTGGAATTTATGCTCTGGATCACAGAGGAAGCAGCCTCTCACACCATATTCCACATGAGTGACTTGGAAATCTTTCTTGCCTCCTAGGACTCTACCAATTAAACTAGAATACAATAATACTTTAAAGTTTGCAGTTCTATCAAGAAATAGCCAAGTCTGAAATTAAATAGTAGCCAAAGCCAGTTGGGTTTCATCCTTTATGCATTTAAACTAACCCAGGAGTAGCAGAGCCATCTTGGATGTGTTCAACCTTGTGTAATAACACTACCCAAAGAGGTATTGCACTCTATTGAAGGTAACTAGTTTAAATATTAAACTAAAACAGAAAAAAAAGGAAAAGTCATTGTTTGTTTGTTTTTTTAAAAAAACAAACTTGTCTGCTATACAAACAATTCCTTGCTTTTCAAATCACGGCTTGGAAGACTACCAGCTTCTCTAGGTTCTCTGGAGTAGACGGCATTCGGCATCTCTCATGCAAGCCCAAGTGGACTCAGAGAGATTGGCCAGATAAGGCAAACATCCCAGGTAGAATTATCATCTAATTCTACATATCATCTGTGTGATCTTGGAGGATATTTACTTAGCCTCTCTGTGCCATTTTGTCATCTGGACAGTGGATATAAAGAGCGCTACTTTCTATGAGCTCATAAGAATTAAAAATAACGTATTTTAAACATATGACCTGCAATAAATGTGCAAACAAAATACGCTGGATTAATAAAACAAAGAGTGTAAAATGTCATACGTCACCCTGACAATTAAGGAGGCTTGGGGGGACTTTGCACTGTATAGTATGAGATTTCTAAAGCCCGAGTGTTGGTGCACCCCATGACACAGTTGCCCCAAACACATCTTTGCTTCTGGCCTGATCCGTTATTTTTTATACTCTTTCTGGCTTCAACTAAAACACTTGTGTTCTGTAACAGCTGTTCCAGACTCCCCTGCTTTTCCCTGGGTTCAAGGCTATATTCTGGGTGGCCCAGGCTGAGGGACAAGATCTTCAGGCAAGAGTGACCTGTCACAGCTGGTGGATTTTTGAATTTTCATTAACAAAGTGGTCAAGCACAGTACTTCTTGCATTTGTAATTTAGTCTGTTACAACATTCTGTTTAAACCATCCTCAATTTCATTAAATACATAGAGCATAATAACTGATAAGACATTCTTTGATAATCAATAGATAATAAAAATTACCAAAAAAAAAGAAAAAACACATTTACTTCATTATCTTGCTGCATTATTAGTTTGCAAGTTTATTTAAAAGATTAGGCAAATCATGGAAGATTAATGCTTTCTTCTTATCAAAGTTTTTCCTTGTTGAGTCAAACATATTTATTTGGAAACTCATAAAATGTCTAGTGTATGCCTGCCCACAGTAACCACTGGGATGTCAGCTGGGTGGATTATTAACCAGCTTCAGAAAAGGCTAATGTCCTCCACGCTCTGCAAAGGAGCTCTCCTGGGGCCTGCAACTCTAGCATGGCCAATTCTGTAAATCATTTCACACTGGGAAGCCGACCAAACACTCATGTTGCATTTATGAGGAAGGAAAAAATGTGTGTCATGTTAGCGCTGAGAAAATGCTGCTTTTGAGCAATGTAAGTAAAGAAAGTGTTGAAGTTTGAAAGTAGGATGTTTATGTGATCTATGTGCGGTTATCCACAATTAAAAGTTGGTAGATTTCTATTATTGTGTATCTATTTATAGACACTGTCTATAAAAGTTGCATGAATCAAAAAATAAAATGGAAATTAAGAAGAAATAGATAAATGCCCAACCACTGAGTCTGTTTCTCCTGCAGTGTAAGAAGTCCTCACTGAACTGGTTCCAAGATTGTCTCAGATGAAACCATAAACTATTTTCAAGACAACTAGCTGTCAATAAACACAGTGAAAGCATGATCGGGCTCATTAAGAGAAACATGCATTTTAATTCCCTAGTAACTGCATTTTTACTCTCAAGTGTTATTTGTTTTGAGAATATTCTACTTGTTCTAGTATACTTAACGATGTCTCAGAAACACAAGACAATTTTAACATTTATAGAACTTTCATAAAAGCCAAACTCTGCTTTTTATTTCCTTATACCTCAGGGTCAAACATGAACCTGGCCCGGGGCCAGTCCATCACTTGCTAAGTGCCCAAAATCACAGTAAGTTTTGTTGCACAATTATTTGTGATGCTTTGAAAATCAAAATTCAGCCAAAATCTCCTAAGAAGTTAAATAACCAAAAGGTTCTCTCTTTCCCAGGAGATTTTGCATCTGATTCCTATTATTCCTGTCCCTACTGTGCACCTGGCTTAGGCATTGGGCCTCTTGCCTTCAAGGATAATGGGGCTGTGTGCTGGTCATAGGAATCACCCATCATCACAAACCAAAATCAGTCCAGTCTTCAAAATTCAGTCATTTGCTCAGTTCAAATCTTGGTCACAAGTCACAAGACTTTTTCTATGCCTTTCCCACTTGCATGACTCAAACAAATTCATTCACTTTGTTGAATTCTACCTGGACCGTGTGACCAGGCCAAAGACAACAAGTGGGACTTGGATGAAGTGCCAACACACATCGTTGCAGGATCAATGGCTGCACAGCTGAGCTGAGCACACCTGAGCCTTTAGACAATCAGGCTTTGAATAAATTTTATGGCAGGAGGAAGCAGAGTTGTAATTTTAGAGTACAATTAATCATTGCACTAGAATGATCCCTGGCTACTCCAAATAATTATTCAAGACTATTCTGGAATCTATGCTTTTCATCTGCTGTTTGATACAGTGATTTTTGTCTTAAAACCTCATAACTGAAGCTTCAAGGGTGCAGCACAGTGAATGCTCATCTTTCATCACTTTTCCTTAAAATTTGAAGAGCTCTCATATTTTTGTTTGTCATATTAATTTAATTCACTTGAACATTAAATTATCAGCATTTCTTGCCTTACCCTATGATCTAATCTTAGTACTGACATAACTTATGATTAGAGCTTAGATAAATATGATCATTTGTGACTCCCAGTAGCATGCTTGGCTGAACAACAAACCTAGAGTGAAGGGTGACCCACTGTTTGAGGTAAATACTTCTCCCCACTTTATCATTTCTTTAGCATGTTGGGATCCAGGAGCACCACACTTCTTGCCCCTCACTGGTTCCTCTCCAAGGAGAAAATGCCTTATCTGCAAATTTGAACTCAAAACTGGGCATGAGTAGTATAGCCCTTTCCTCTCATGAACAATATCCTAGAGGAAGCTCAACTACTCAATGGATCTTGATCATAGGATAGGCTTAGCTGCCAGATGGGAAGCATAGGTGAGAAGCTGTCCCAGGTTGGCCACTTCCATGGACCTAGCACCTCCTGCAACTCAGTGCATAGGTCTAAATTGGAGCCCAGTTTTAGGAAAGCCACTCACCTGTATAAATATTCCACTTTCTCCAAACATGATTTAAAAATACAGAGGTCTACCATCTTTTTTTTCTTCACATTTTATAATTAACTGAGAATACAGGATTTATGGAAAACAAAAAGGGAAAGAAAAATGTAAGAAAAAAGGTAGCTATGTATTGGACCATCTCAAAACCCAACATTCTTTTTTAGCTCTCAGGTGGTTTATTAATTAATAGACTAATTATTATGTATACTATCTATACTAATAAAAGGGTAATATGCTAATTAGACTGGGAGACCTTCTGGCAGACCTTCCGGACATCCTTCTGGACAAAGCCATGGTGGTGGGGCTGAGGCAGAGGTGGTTAGGGGAGATCAGGATGGCAGGGGAGGGTAGTTGGGGGCGATCAGGCCAGCAGGTAGAGTGGTTAAGGGTGATCAGGCAGGCAGACAGGTGAGCGGTTAGGAGCCAGCTGTCCCGGATTGTGAGAGGGATGTCCGACTGCCGGGGATTGGGGATCGGGCCTAAACTGGCAGTTGGACATCCCCCGAGGGGTCCCAGATTGGAGAGGATGTAGGCCAAGCTGAGGGATACTCTCCCCTGCACGAATTTCGTGCACGAGGCCACTAGTCCTATATAATAAAAGGCTAATATGCAAATCGACCAAACGGTGGTCACTATGATGTACACTGACCACCAGGGGGCAGATGCTTAACGCAGGAGCTGCCCCCTGGTAGTCAGTGTGAAGCCCTGAGCTGGGCTCATGACTGGCACGTGCAGTGGTGGTGGTGGGAGCCTCTCCCACCTCTGCTGCAGCGCTAAGGGCCTAAGCCATCAGTTGGACATCCCCCAAGGGTTCCTGGATTGCGAGAGGGCACAGGCCGGGCTGAGGGAACCCCCCAAGTGCACAAATTTCATGCACCAGGCCTCTAGTTATGTATATAAATATGAATAAAAATAACAGTTACTTTGTCTTGGGCACCATCTATGTGGCAGATAATGTGCCATGTGATTTGCTCTATATATTACTCCTATCCTAATAATAAACATGTAAACTGAGGTTTAATATTCCCATTTAAAAGAAAGAAAACAATTCAATTAAAAAAAGGTCCAAAGATCTTAGTAGCCACCTCAACAGAAAGATATACAGATGGGAAATAAGTATATGAAAAGATGCTCCATATCACATGTCATCAGGAAAATGCAAATTAAAACAATGAGATACCACTACATACCTATTAGAATAGCCAAACTGACAACATCAAATGCTAGTAAGGATGTAAGTTACAGGAACTTTCATTCACTGTTGGTGAGAATCAAAATGGTGCAGCCACTTTAGAAGACAGTTCAGCTGTTTCTTACAAAAACTAAACA